AAAACTTCATCTATACTCTAATAAAAAGTTTCCCAGACCAAAGAGGTCACCTTAATACCAAAAAAAAAAAAAAAAAATTAAGTTAACTAAAATTTAAATTAAGTAAAAATTATTCAGTATAACAAATTATATATAATTACAAATTTTTATAAAATTTTAAAAAATATTAAATTAGTTATTACTTTTAAATATTAGAATTAAATTACTAAATTAAAATTAACAAATTACTAAATGTAGTAATTTTGTTACTATATATAGTAATTTAGTAAAAAAATTTTAAAAATTATAAAACTTTCAAAATATATACAATTTGTTATGTTAAATAATTTTATTTAAAAAAAATTGCTAGTTTACTTAATAACTATAAAAATATAGACAAACCTCTTTATATAAGTATATTATATAAAAAATTCTCTTTATAGACATATTTATTTTAAAACCAACTATTATAAATATATAGAAAAAACCTTCTTTATGAGCATATCTTAATAAAATTTTCTTTACAATCACACAAATCTTTATCCCAAGAGGTGTAATTATAGAGAAGTTAAATTGTATATTAAAAATTAGCAAATTGCAATAATAAAAAAATCTAATATAGTGTTGTTAATTGGAAGATCCAGTGATGATTACTAGAACTAGAAAATTTACTGAATGGAATTGGAAGATATAGTAGTTCTAGTGTTAAGTTGTTACTAGACCTTCTAGTTAACTTTTTTTTACCACTAGATAGAGGTTCTAGTAATGTCCAGTGATATCTAATAATTGATGTTTCTAATATTTGAATTAGATTTTATAGATATAAAGTGAATAACCATGGCTAAAGACCACAGATTATTCATATACCCATGCAATAACTATATTATTTCATGTGTCTGACAAATATGTTTAAACATTAGTGTATATACTGTGCATTAACAACACTAGTCAAATATAAGAAATTCGACTACCAAATGAAATGGCCGATTCGACCTGAATTTGATAGTTAAATAATTAGCTAATTTTATATTGAATTATTGAAATAATTTGATCTTAATTCGATAGTTGAATAATTAGCTAATTTTATATCAAATTGTTGAAATAATTCGACCTAAATTCGATAGTCAAATAATTGGCTAATTTTATATTGAATTGTTGAAATAATTCGACTATTGAATTCAGGTCAAATTATTTCAACAATTCGATATAAAATTAGCCAATTATTCGACTATCGAATTCAGGTCGAACCGGCTATTTCATTCGGTAGTCGAATATTATAATAAATTGATAAAGATTCTATTACCAAATACTAATATAAAATAGGGCGATTAGTAGTCGATTACTAAACATTCAGAATAAAATTAGGTAGTTGAATATTAGGATATTTATACATAATAATATTAAAATAAATCAGACTATAATCGGAAAAAATTTGATATATTTATTAATAATTAATAAGCATAGATACAAATATATATACAAAATAAAAAAAAATATTAAGCAAAAAAAAATGTTAAGCTATTCGTTTACTTGGTCATTCCACTATAGTATTAGAAGCTAGTCTTTTACCACTTGTTTTGTCACCACTATTTCTACCACTTCTATTTTCATCACCATCATTACCATTCTCACCTTTATCCTCATTATAATTATTATCATTATCTTCATTATCTTCATCATCTTCATTACTATCATCATCATCATCATCATTATTCCCTTTTTCCCTACTAGAATAAATTTCTTCATTTTCTTCACCTGCTGCCCAATCGGGTACACCTTCAGGCCTCTGAACTTTCAACGTATGTGATCTTCTACAGGGACGTTTTTAAGCTAGCATGTTTGTCAGATCAAAAACATTATATAACAAATGAATTAACTATTAAAATAAAAAATAAAAAAATATATAAATTTTTACAATTAGTAAATTTGATGCCGAATGATATGGTATTCGACCTGTAATTGATCAGTAGATTGAATGCAGGTTAAATACTATATATTAAATATTAGTTGAATTAATGTAACATTATATATTAAAGATTAGTTGAATAATATTAATTAAATTAATATATATAACAGCATATATTAAATATTAGTTGAATTAATTTAACAAACAAAAAAAAAAATTTATATCTCACTCGACCTCCAAGATAGGCCATAAACATTAATATACAATTGTCCTTTCTTATCTGTAGCCTTACCAGAGTCCAATAGTTCAGGTGAATAGATGTCATTATCTATTAATAAATTTGTTAATTCATCTGTATTATATTTGGTGACCTGAGAATCTTTTTTTCCATAAAGGTACTTGAATGCCAAGGCCCGTCGAGCTATTTTCTGTAAGTTAGAAAAAAAAAATATTATCCTTTAAACTGTATTCCAGGCAAATTTGCCTGGAAAATTTAAAAGTATTTACAAATTTTTAAATAAAATTAAAAATTATTAATAATATAAAGTATAATTTATATATACAATATTTTATTTAAAACATATTCTATAAGCTTTATTATAGAAATTTTTTAATTTTACTA